CACTGAATCTGTCAAGAAAGAAGACTACTGAATATGTATGAGTGTTAAATCAAAATAATACAGACAGAGAATTCTATAAAAAGTCCCTAAAACATCAGGCAACGTCCTCTCTGATCAATACTCACAGGAAATACTCTGATAGAACTTAAAGAACTACTGACCTACACAATCAACCCACACCTGACAGCAAATGAGGCTACAAGTCAGCTGACATCACTACAGGTCAACAACAACACAAGCAGCAACAAATAACTATCCCTCTTCAGGGGGTACTAAGGGGGGCGGAATCAGCAACAATGCAAACAGCCCACAGCGCCCCCTGCTGGGGCTGCTGCGGACGGTCGGGAACCCCCCTGCCAGCGGGGGGCTCATTGTCTGACTTTTTAAAAACAATGCAAACAACAAAGTAAACAAAAACAAACTATCAGTAAACATGTAGGAGTATATATCTTATATTTACAGCTTTATATAAGGTTTTTATTTCTAAAAGTTGTTTGGTTGTTGGGAATCTGCTCTTGGTTAATTAATCTGTTTGTTGATTGACAGAAAAATAGTTGAGAACCATTTTAAAAGTTCATTAAGTTCATTTCTCAAGCAGAAATCTCAAACTGGTTTCAGTTGTTTAGTTGTTCAGTTGTCGGAGGTGACAATACGAGTAATGTTGTTTGTGGGGTAACTGTAATATTATGACTTTAAATGTATTATAGTTACACTACCAGCTAATGGAGACATTAATATTATTACTGCTTTACTGCCCAACACTGCAGATTGATCAATAATGAAAATAAGGATTAGCTGCAGCCATAATCTCAAATAGCGATCAATACATTTTGACCATCTTTGGTCTGTCTATCACGTTCCCTCACACTGTATCCTGATTCTAAATCAACATGCTTTTTATTTATAATATTCTTTTTCTCATGAACATCCCGGCAGAGCATTTATTTAACAATACTGATCGAAGCAGAATTCAAAATGGTCGAACAGGAGAGGAATCAAAACAGACTGCAGTCAGAAACGTCACATAATGTCCCCACCAAACCCCTGCATGGTTCTTTACACTCAGTATTTTAAGAAATATGTTAGAACGTAACATATAATTAGGTCCAGATGGAAGCTCAACAGCAATCAGCCGTCACAATTACAGGACGATCACACAGTCTGATGTTAATGAACCGAGCCAGTGTCTTTGAGAGGAGGGAGGACAGATTTCCAGTTTACTAAAATTTTTTGTCACAGTTCTTGCAAATAAAATAAAGTGGTTAACATAATTATTTACTGTATTATACTGATGGGTCCAGGCCACCTATAGGATCCAAACTTTAGGATCATGTGGCTTTTCTATTATTTCTGAGATCTTTTTAATAATATATTTTATTTGGAAGTTGGGACAGGTTGAGGATATCATAGACGGTTGATGTTAGACTGTCTGATTTGCATGGAATTAATCAGGTTATATTGAGGCTGATCGAAAACTAGAGAATTTACCGTCTGTGTATTAATGTGTCTCCAACTATTTTAATGCCTTTATCCACCAAATACAAACATTACAACACATGTTGGCTGTATTCTGACTCTGATTCCTTGAAGTTCTTACATGTAACCTTGATCACAACCTTCAGCCACAGTAGTTTACTGTCCACCAATCAATAACTTCATGTTCAAACAGTTTCTCACTGACAGTCGGCTTGTTGAATTGACTTTGTCATACATTGCTGAGTTTTACCAGAGGCCTGTCAGAATAACGTTCTACTAACACTAGATTTCAGTCACATTTGTCCGTCTATGAGACCCGAATGGACTATTTTCCATTAAGAGCGAGCCATTTTTTCCAGATACAAGCGTTCCCTCTTTTCTCACTTTGCTCTCTCTTTTTCTACATTTGGGCAAACCACCAGAGCCAACAGATGATTTAGTGTGAGCTACAATGGCTTTCATTTCAGTTTGCTTCAGGGAATTCTCCTTTTTGCTCTTATGATGCATTATTATGGTCCCTGCAGCCTGTAAAACATTGTGTGTGCGTGAGAGAGAGAGAGAGAGAGAGAGAGAGAGAGAGAGAGAGACATCATAATGTACATATTAATATGTAATATTGTATATATATATATATATATATCATATTGATAATTATCATATGTATAACAATGGTGTTTAAGAGTTAAGGGTACTCTTGAGACCAGCAGCCACACCACCTCCTACTGTAGCTCGTAGCTGTGAAAAATATGTTCCTGATGAATATTAAAGACGTCTTTGTGCATAAAGTAGGCTATCACTGAATAGTTTCTGTCTCCTCACTTGTTTGATGTTGGCTGCTGCTGAAGGCAATAAAATTCATTTACAACTTAATACCAACACACATTTATTATGTTATATTATGTTCTTAATGTGAATTTTGCTTAGAAAGATTGTAACAGCAGTCAGAAAATGTTTTTTAACATATTAGAGAACGACACTATAGGAAACCTGAAACACACAATCTCAACATTTCATTTGGTTTGAATATCAAGCTCTCAAGCATCAAGTCATCATTAAAAAATACTTAATATGTTGTTTGTCAGTGTCTTCAGTAAATATATTTCATTATTGTGACTGAACATTTAGTTTATTATTTATTCCATCACAGTGTAACATCACAGTCTGGTTGTTCCAAACACGGAATACATAACTTCCAACTTCACTAAAACAAATCCTGGTGGACTGATCGGTACGAGGGATGATGGATAAAAGTTACTTACAAATCAACTCACCACAAACTGGCTCACCTTCCTCCGTCTCCTTCCTCTCCTATTGCTGCCTGAACCTGCAGTGTCTTCATCCCCAGAGTCAGAGTCCACTTCTCATTCTGGCCCCGACCCCTAGCAGTATTCCCTGCTGGGTCCCCCAACTCCTACACTAGTAGTGTTGATCTGTTCGAGCTCCAGTCCAGGTAAAGTCACCTGAAAGGAGCGCTTACTTGCTAGTGGCAGCAGCTAGCACAGTTAGCATATATATTTTTTGAATCTTGTCGACTGTTGGGGGGGCGGCCCTAATATTAATATTACTGTACAACCGAGCTTGCCTGTGTTGGTTGGGCTTCAACCTCGAGCACTGCTGTTCCACAGAGACTGAATTATTCTATTTTGCATCCCCAGATGTCGTGGCATGTTTTCCTGTCCCTCATCTCGTCTGTTCACCTGTCTGAATTAGACTCAAGCTAATGACCGAATTACATTTCTGTCTGATGATCTGTTTGATTAAGTCACTGTTCTGCATGTGTGTGTGTGCGTGGTGGTAATGAGCCAATAAAGGTGCACGAGATAGCTGAGACTCCTGCATATTCATTCTTCTCGTCTTCTGTCTGCCTCACTTCTGTCTGAATACAATGTGAGTCAGTGAATCACAGGGAAAAAGGCCTCCTGTCTGTAAAGAGCTGTCAACAGGGAGTCGGGACTATAATAATATCTTGCAGACTGTTTCTCTGCAGCAGACACCGACACACAAAGCCCTCCTCTCTGTAAGAGCATGTTAAAGGGTCTTGTCTCCACTGTGATCAATACAGGTCAGTGTTAGTCATTGGATGTGATCATCCATGGGTTCCCTCAGGAGGAAACTCTACCGCTTCACTTCTCCCCCGTTTGTGCTTATTGGACGGAGAACATGGATCCCTGTTCCTGCTGATGTCAGAGGAAGTCAGGCAGCACAAAGAAACATGAAAAAATAAAACCGGCAGTGGGAGAGTAAAAAGACACAGAAGGATTTTAAGTGACGTAAAACAGTGAAATCCAGATATCCCGGGGGATCAATGAAGACGTCTCTGACAAAATGATCCGTAGCTTTGTTTCACTATTCGAAAAAGTATATAAGAGGACGATTCTCAAGGTCCTTTAACAAAGAGAACAAACTATAGGGCAATGGTTACAGATGTGTATATTTAAGCTTCATTGTCACAAGATGCTGAAAATAAAACTGGACAAGAAAAAGTTAGCAATCGTTTTGTTGGTTCTCGAAAAATACGTTCATGGTGGTGGATGTTTCTAAAGTCTTCACACTAATGTAAAGTGAAAATACAGACGGCACAAGTAACACGTCCTGCATATGTCTGATGTCAGCTACACATTCTTGCCACGAGCGTGATTGAAAAGGTCGAAGGAAAGTTCGAACAAGCACCTTGTTTAACTCACCTATCACTGAGCTGATGAAGTTCAGCTACTTGCAGCAAAGCTTCAGCCTGGCTATATGTTGTCTGGGAAGCCAGTGAGGGATCGTGACCTTGTCTCTGGACTATTGACTCACGCTGGTTGAATATTGACACAAAACATTGGTGAGCAGCAGGTTGAAACCCAAACTTCTACCATTAGTTTGAGTTTAAACAAACCCCAGACAGATCTAAACCTTCCATAAAAGAATGTTGTGTGTTCTCTGACAGACGACTGAATCCTGTCAGAATTCCGCCACCAGCAGTTGGTTCCAGTCGAACATTCTGTTGCTATAGCAACCACTGTTGTCAGTATTCCGTAGCAGTTACATTGTACATCATTCAATCCCCCCAGAAAGAGTGCTGGGCTTTCAAGACAATGTGTCCAATGTGTGTGTGTGTGTGTGTGTGTTTTAATAAAGTCATGATGTAGAGTTGCCCCAAATGGTCGACTCTATGTCAGCATTGACCTTAAAAACTAAAGTGCACGTTGAGACATTTTTAACCCACAAAATGCAGATTTTCATAACTTTGCTAATGTCAGTTTTAACACCAGCACCGATGTGTTTCACCACAGTATAGTCCTATAATTTGGTTTACTATTTTAAAAATGTCTTCCGCTTAAAAAGCTAGCTCCTGTTTTCAACCTTTACTGGAAACAGTTGGTGACAGAAATACTCTGGCTGAGTGCGACTGATGTCCTAAACTGGGCAAAACAGACCACAGCAAAGAAAGGATTCAAAGAACAGGAGAAATAAGAAAGGGAAAGGTTTAAGAAATACCAAACAAAGTAAGGAAGGAAGCAAGAAAGGTGTTGAGACCCGGCTTCTTTGTCTTATAACATAACATCTCTTTATTTTTTATTTTTTTATTTTCTTCATACAGACAGGAACTGCTGCTGAAAATCTACAATAGTATACAAGAGGCATATTGCCGTTGTCTCTGGGGGGTTTTGTGGCCCGACCCAGAACCGACAGTTTGTCCACAATATGTCTTTACTGTACATAAAACCCCAGAGAGTGTGTCAGTTGACTGATGAATATAACCTATAACCCATAAATCTCCCATAGTTTACTCTTCTCCTGCCAACAGTCCAACTTCCACAATAAATGTATTTTTTTTTTTTTTTTTAAATCAAACACATTAAGTTTTTCAGGTCCTTGTACAGTTGTCTTGTTCAAACCATGCAACACATACTGCAAGTCTGTGGTCAGGACTGTCTTCAACGTGTCCAGGCCTTTTGTTGCATGTGTTTCCATGCATTCATATTTATGTGTATTGTCACAGATGGTGGGTATGCACTCGCTGTTATCAACCACGCATACCCAATTATTTTTTTTTTCTTCATAGGAATACACAGTTAAATGCCTTACGCGTACCTCAGTGATTTATCATTTTTATGTCCGGTGCACGTGTGAGTTTTCTTTTATAGTCACACAAGCGGTCACATTCAGTGTGTGTATTCTTGTCACGGCCTCTCGAGCAGGGAACACAACAACACACGCACACATGTGGCCAGCCGCTCATACTTTCTCTCTCTCTCGGTCACCAATTATTTGGTGTGTATCCTTGTGCGTTCACAGCTTCTCAATGTCCCTGTATTTCTTCCTCAGGATGGAAACCTGGTCCCTGAACAACACAGGGTCCAGCCTCATCTGGGAGTGCACCAGGGGCATGAAACCCAGCCAATGACTGAAGGCGTTCATGCAGGTCTGTCGCTGGGCGAAGTGATCTGGGTCAGCCCACCGAGACGCCTTGGAGCCCTTGGTTTGGAGATGGAGAGAAAGGGAGAGGATAAATGCATCAGAACAACAGAACCAATGAGCACAGCTCAGTAGCAGCTGATCATCTAACAAACCACTGCAATAACAGGAATCAAACACTACAATGTTACTCAACTGACAATGTCATATTACGTAAAACCCACCAGCTGAAAGAAATCTAACAGTAAAAAGTTTTATTTACAACGCTGCACGAGAAAAAGATTTAGATTAAAAGGAACTAAATCATATGAGGCCTACGAAAGTGACGCAAAATTATCGACATATCTGAAATATTTGGTTGGCTTGGTGATGCAGTGGCTATTCACAGGTTAAATAGTGAATTACTGTAGCTGGAGAGCTAACGGCTAACACGCTAACTAGCTCAGACATAATAGCGCTAGCAGTCACAATAACTACTGGAGTTTCTTTATATTATCTATATATCTCTGTGTTGGGCCATTAAATCCCCGCTGGTCTTCTGTTCTCTCTATTTTACATCGCTAACAAGCTTGCTAACTGCTAGCTAACTAACTAACGACAGTTAGCAAGCTTGTTGGGTTTGTTGCTAATGGAAGTTCACAAAGATGTATTTGTACCATTGACTTCTATCTCATAACTGTCTGAGAAACACAGCCTCATTTTTCAGCAGCTAACATGCTAGCAGAGGTTTTTCCTCTTGTCACAGTACTTTAAACTGTCCGAGGAAACAAACTCGCTAACTGTGGGTTAGCTTGGTTGCTGATGAAACAAATAATGCAATCCAATCCAATCCACTTTATTTATATAGCACGAATTTAACAAACACAAGGTTTCCAAAGTGCTGCACAAAAAGATATACAGAATAAATAAATAACACAATCGAAGATACACAATAAAAGATAAAAGCAATAAAATAAAATAAAATAAAATAAGTAAAATAAATAACAGAAATAAATAAAAAGCACTGCCCACACAAGATAAAAATATGCATGTGTACACATAGAATCAACGCTCTACATGGTATCAAAAGCCGAAGAGAAGAGGTGGGTTTTAAGAAGAGTTTTAAAATGAGACAGAGAGGTGGCCTGTCTAATGTGCAGCGGCAATCCATTCCAAAGTTTTGGAGCTGCAATGGCAAACGCTCGTTCCCCTCTGAGCTTAAGCCTAGCTTTAGGCACTGTCAGGAGCAGCTGGTCAGCTGACCTGAGAGAACGGCTGGGAGTGTAGGGGTGCAGTAGCTCAGAGAGGTAAGAAGGGGCAAGGCCATTCAAAGCTTTAAAAGCAAATAAAAGAATTTTAAAATGAATCCTAAAATGGACGGGCAACCAGTGGAGTGAAGCTAAAATAGGTGAAATGTGCTCATACTTGCGTGTGCCAGTTAAAAGACGTGCAGCAGCATTTTGTACCAGTTGAAGACGAGAAATGGAGGACCCACTAACCCCCATATAAAGTGCATTACAGTAATCCAGCCGAGTGGTCACAAAGGCGTGGATTACTGTCTCAAAGTGCTGTCTCTGAAGGACTGATTTGATTTTTGCCAGCTGCCTTAACTGGAAAAAGCTAGACTTTACCACAGCTTTAATTTGGCTGTCAAATTTAAGGTCTGTGTCAACTTTTACCCCAAGATTTTTTGCAATTGGTTTGCGATATTGCGCTAAAGAACCCAGATCAACTGGGGGGTCACAGAAGTGCCACCAAAGACCATTACTTCTGTCTTTTTTCATTAAAATTCAGAAAATTCAAAGACATCCAAGTTTTAAGGTCGTGTAAGCACTTTAGCAGTGGGTCAACAGAGTAGGATTCTGATTTTTTGAGGGGGATATAGATCTGGCTGTCATCCGCATAACAGTGAAAAGAAATGCCATGTTTCCTGAGAATGGAACCAAGTGGGAGTAGATAAAGAGAAAATAAAAGAGGGCCAAGCACAGAGCCCTGTGGGACCCCACATGAGAGAGGAGCAGTGGAGGACACAGAGTCATCAAGGCTGACACAGAAAGTCCGATGTGACAGGTAGGACCTGAACCATTCCAGTGCTGAGCCACTGATGCCCACCCACTGCTCCAAACGAGCGATCAGGATTTCATGATCCACTGTATCAAATGCTGCAGTCAAATCTAAAAGTACAAGGACAACACAGTGTCCAGAGTCAGTAGCTAAAAAGATATCATTAAAAACTCTTAAAAGCGCTGATTCTGTGCTGTGCAATGTTTTAAAACCGGATTGGAAAGTCTCAAGAATATTGTGTTCATTTAAAAAGTCCATGAGCTGGGAATAAACAATCTTCTCTAAGATTTTAGAGAAGAAAGGCAATTTGGATATAGGCCTGAAATTTGCCATATAAGTTGTCAGTTTATTGAGAACTCTTTCTCTTCTTGTTTCTGTTGAAAGGTTGTTGGTGGTGACTTTACAGTTCCTCTCATCACCAGCCAGGAGAGCGGTGGCATCCAGCAGGGCTGTGATCATCTGAACCCGTCTGGTTTCTACAAGGTTAGAACCCTAACCCTAACCCTGAGATGGTAAAAATGACTGAATGACCGAGGGCTGCTTTATTTGTCTCCCAAACTTAAACTTCTCCCTCAGTGTAATACGATGGCACATATGAACAAATAAGGAATAGCATGCTGGCACTGATGGTGGATCATCCTAGATGTCCCAAATGATTGCGGCTATGATGGTTCGGGGTCGTAGGAGCGCCTCCATGCTGGTGAAACATCCTCCTTATTGCGGACAGCTTGTCAAGACATGGCAGGAGGTGTTGCTCACAGTAACACATACTGTATATCCCATTGTTGGTATTCACCTGCAGCTCCTCTAGAGGATCCAGGTTCCTCATACTGACAGAGCTGGTCAACCTGAGCAGCTGGTTCGCTCTCGGCGAATCCCCTGAGAAGTTTTTCTGACACTCAGCAAACAGCAGCACAGAAAGTCAGACTGGTAGAAAACTTGCAATGAAGTGTCTTTCACATATCGTTAGGAAGTACAGCCTGCTTCGCCACTTTTTGGCTCCAGCTAGCAGGTTGTGTAACTCACTCTGTCGGTCAGTCAGTGTGTGGGTCCAAATAAACTCGCTCTGCTAGTACAGCTTTACAAAGCCAGAGGATAGAAACAACAACAGCTGTTTTGTTTGCCTGACATTTGGCGTCAAATGCTCAAACTGGCACAACAAACCCCAGTTATCACCCAGACACTTTCAGTATAGATACATAGGACTCAATTGGAGGAAATGGAATCTAATATTCACAGGTATGTTTGCATTAGTGCATTATCACCTGAATATAAGAATCTTTGTGTTTGTTTTACTTTAGAATGAGACGTTTTTATCTACCGGTCACCTTCTATGGAGGCCATCATGTTAGACCGCCATGTTTCTAAGGTAGACCGGAAGTGGCAGAACAAACACTGACTGTAGATAGGGGTAGATATGGCCACTGTACTTTCTCCTTTGTGCTTGGACGGGGAGGGTGAAGCGAGTGGGCTGAAACCAGAAAATACAATACAGTTCCACCAAAATGGGTGAATAAAGTTATACAGCTTTTGTCCAATTATTGGTGAGGCCCAGCAGTAGATGTACTCTGGTTTCATTGGACAACGATTTGAATGCAGGATCATCAATAACTTTTTTTAATTATTTTTCAGGAAATTACAAACTCTAAATTACCATTAAGAATACAGAAAAATTCCTAAAAACCTTTTTCTGTCGGTGTTTGGATCATGGCAGAAGATTTATGTGATAAGAACACTCAAACATAAATTCTGACTCCTGACTGGTTGCAGCTAATAGACCTTTATCTGCTTTAACATTTGGGGATCTGCATCTAAATGAGCCAGTCAGGCCTGATGATGTTAAAGTCCCAACATAAAAAAGGCAAAAATAAACTCTTCCAGTAAGTTCCAGCAGGTCACTGAGACATTAGATCATCCTCTACAGTTATTAGGAGCAGTCGTTGTTGTGTTGTTGCCCTCAGTAGCTTCCTGAATAGCTCCGTGATGCTATCGTCTCCTGCTGCTCTGAGTCCTCACCGGGCTGTCTGAATTGGATGGCAGAGGGGGTGGAGAGGGGTACAGTAGATGAGGTGGAGAGGGGGCAGCTGAGGGCCAGGCAGAGGGCAGCAGCCCCCTTTGATAAGCTTTGGCACGGGGGCGTGGATTCATCCTGTGAGCTGCAGGAGGGTGGCAGCGCGAGGTACTGAGGGTCAGGCAGAGTAATGAAAATCGAGTGAAAGAAACGCTTTGGCACTTTGTATGAAACATCTCTACTGTTAAAATACAAAATGAATGAATGCATGATAAAAACCTGCCAAAAAAATATCTGTCACAACTATTTCTGCTGCTTAAAACTTCCTAAAAAACATTCCTTCATGTTAAATGTCTGTCTGCTGTTTCTGGAAGCAAAGTTACAAATCAAGGGGTGAGAGAGAGAGAGGGTGAGGCAGGAACAGAGACAGAAGAAGAAAGAAAGAAAGAGAAAGAAAGAAAGAAAGAAAGAAAGAAAGAGAGAGCGAGGGAGGAAAGGAGGGAGTAAATCTAGGTTTGCCGTGTTGCCTTCACAATTAAGACATTAATCACTGAGTCCATACTGCCGAGTCATCGTCCTGCCTGTGGTCAGGCCATCAATCAGGACCTGACACAGGGTTGGCCACACGAAACACACACACACACACACACACACACACACACACACACACACACAACATACAGATCTCCTGGAGAGAAGGTCACGGCTGCATGTCGCCTCTAGCGTCTCCACTACTGCTCCAGGAGGTGAATCTCCTCTTCATTTTATTGTCTATTTATACAGAGGGAGTCAGGGCATTAAACCACTGTCTCTGCACTCTTAAAGGGGCCCAGCAGACTTTTTGACCACTAGTAGCGCTATGGAGTAATGTTGTGATACTAGCATGTGCAAATGAAGCTGAACTGAGTAAATCCAATGAAAGGAACAGTGCTTATGTTACATACGTACAGTATGTAATTTCTGCCACTAGGGGGTCTCTCACATCAAAACAATAACAAAAGATGTAGTTTGATGAGATGGTGAAGCAGTGTGGGATCATGGGAGTTGTTGTCTTCACCACCATTGGCGTCACTGCAGTCAGCTTCTCCCGGTTAGGATTCCTTCAGTGTTCATGGTTCAGGAGGTTTCTACCGGGAGTCCAGTTATCCACAGAGGTCTCCTCCTCTCCAACACAAACAGACCCGCTGATTAAAACCACTAAAAACACTGAATAAAGCAGTTCCACCTTAATGATCACTGCTTCTCCCACGCTGTTGGACAGACAAAGGACGTCCCGGAGGGGCTGCGAGCCGAGCTGCTGTTAACGTTAGCTCAGCTTGTTTCTCTGATAACTTAAGATCCAGACGTCCGATGACTAAAATCCTTCATCCGGTTCCAATCTAGAGTTAAAAAGCACCAAGATCTAAACAGTGGATGGTAACAATGTGGCTTCAGACTGGATCAACAGTCAATGTATGACAGCTTCTGGTAGACAACCACAACGCTGACGCAGGCACAAAGGGGATATGGCGCCATCGACAGGCGACCGGTGAAACGCAGCGTTACCTGAATAAAATGACAGATTTCTCTGAGTTTGAACATTGTTGGAAACATTTGGGATAAAGTAAGAACTGAACTACATATAGAACATAGAGCCAGAGGTTATACACTGTTTAATGAGGAGATGTTAACAGATATCTTTAAGTTTAAGAAGTTTCAGTCTTTGTTGTAGTTCCTTTTTCTTGTGATGAGGCTTCTAGATTGAATTTGTGTTGATTAGGAGGATTCATTCATTGAGTCTCTTTATAGGGTTATCATTCATTTGTTTTTTCTTTTACATAAAATAAGTATAAACAAACGAATCAGCAATGTGCTAATAAACATAGAAAAACCAGCAAAAGACAGAAACTAATAGAAGCAAACATGAGAGAGAGGAAATGTGTTCAAAGTGTTGGCTCGGCTTCAAGGAAACACACGGTTAATCTTTTATGTTAACTTGGGAACTATTTGTGTCTTCGCCTCTCCACACTGCAAACACTCTTGTGTCAGCGCAGATTAATTTAATTTAAGCAACAATTATAATCTTTTTAAACATTTCTCTCTCTGCTTTCAGGTTGGGGCTCGTTTCTGTGATTATCTCATGTACGGCGTGATTAGCTTTCGGTGGATTATTTTCTTAACCCTTTAACACTCAGGCGACCCGCATTAATTGAACCTTAATTAAAAAAAAAAAAGACAATTTTTGACTGTCACAATTCAATTAAATTGTATTAGTGTGTAAGTTCTAAAGGATTTATTAAACTGCCAGACTGCTCTGAAAATGGGATTTTTAGGTTGTATACCTGTGAATTATACTTGGATAACTTCGGCTTTTTTTGTACAATGACTGAAAAGACAAGAGTCTAATCTATTGTTGAATATACTTATAATATATATATATATATATAATATAATAATATATCTTCATGTATTTATTCAAATTACAAGCAGTCCCACAGTGCATCCTGCAGACAGAGCTCCAGGTGGTAATAAAGGGCGGCAGTAGTTCAGTCTGTAGCGACTCGGTTTGGGAACCGAAGCGCCGCTACGTGGCAGCCCATCACTCCACCATGTCTCCACCATGTCCTTTAAGCCCTCTGTGTGACTGTATTTCAGGCCTACGTGTGAGTGAAAAATAATTTCTCCATTGGGAGTTAATTAAGTTAATGTTCTTCTTATTCTCAAACCATGATAATCCAGACAGACTACAAGAGGATCTGACTTTTTCTCTTAACCCCGATGACTGACCATTTTTAGTTTTAAATTCTGTCCTTGCACCGCCCTGTGGCTGCAATCATTGCATACTGTGTGGTGCCCAGTGGTGGACTCAGACTAGAGGACTGCATTGGGACCCGGGATTTAGGTTGCGCCAACCAGAAGACAAAGTAAACAAATGAAGTTGAGAAGAAGATCACGGCGGGGTTTCACACAAAACAACAGCAAGGCAAGTCTGACGTTTGGAGAAATTACTCAGTTGTTGCTGACACAGTAAAATAACGTCCTGCGGGACAGAAGGAGACACAGAATATTGAGTGGGAGTGAATGGTCAGAATGCTGGTGGGAGTGGACGCACACATAGCGGGAGTGGACGCACACCCAGCGGGAGTGGACGCACACCTAGCGGGAGTGGACGCACACCCAGCGGGAGTGGACGCACACATAGCGGGAGTGGACGATAATGGTCAGAAATCCATGGGGAGCAGACATCAGTCCTGTGCCGGGCTCTACTAGAGGGCACTTTTGTCCTGATTTTGGTTTTATTTTGAGTTTCTCTTTCATCTTTTTGTCTGTTTTTCCCTCCAACTCTGACTGTCTGCCCTGATTATTCTCCCCTGTGTCTTGTTATCCGCCCCCTCACCTGTGAATTATCGTCTTTGAGTTTCTGTGTTTCATTGTGAGTTTGTCTCTTTTTATGTGTGAAGCCTTTTCCCTCGTGTTTTCTCCCTGTATGGACTACAACGTCCATACAACGGCAGTGCTGAGGACGCCTCGTGTGGCCGTAATGCATAATAATTCAATTAAATTAACTTCCCACACAGCCAGTTTTGCATTGTCCTGTCTCCCAGTGTCTGTCATCTTGCCTGGCAGTCCCACGAATATATTTGTAAGCAGAGACATTCAGAAAGTTAACGTTGTTAGCGTCTCCTGTGTAACGTTAACAGAGCGGACTACTAGACGGGAGGGGACCAAGAGACTCTGAAGCTAACGTGAAGCTCTACCTGGCTCATCATGGTTTCCTTGTACTGCTTCTTCTGCGTGACTTTGATTGGCGGCTGCTTGGTAACGGCCGAAACCAGGAAGTTCATCAGGATGTCTTCGCAATTAGAAATGCGGTCCACCGTGGTCAGCAGGTTGGCCGGGACGTAGTGGGTGAACAGGTAGTGGTAGTATCTGACACACACACACAACACACACACACACACACACACACACACACACACACAAACAGAAAAAGACAGATGAGGTTAATTGTGTATTTATTTCTTTTTGCTTTTTAAAGCTGCTCTTCTGTTCTGTTCTGTTCTGTATGGTTGCTGTGTTGCACTCTCAGCAGCATGGGAGCACTAGATCACTGTCAGCTGTTACCTCCCTGCCAAGGTCTGCTGTCCCTCGCTCTCTCTCTCTCGCTCTCTCTCTCTTTCACACTTTCCACCCTTCCCTTCGCACCCGCTGACTCATATTTTCTGCCTTGCGTTGGCATTTGAGGTTTTAAATAACAAAAGGACTAAAGAGTCGCATTGAGCGTCCTAACAATAGAACAACGAGAGAGCTGTTTATCTGCGTGACAAGATGCTTCAAATCCCTTCGGAGAGCAACACTCCTCTCCATTCAATTTACCGCTCTGCTTAATACTTCAGTTTACCATTTCTTCTTTCGGTCCTAGCTTTGTGTCTGTGACAATCACTTCATGAGACAACAGAGAGGTGGAGAAGAAGGTATTACCCCATTCCCTTTTCTATTACTTCACTAAAATATAATATGTAACTGCTGAGAGATGACTTTTAATATTGTTTGTATCTTGCGGAGAAGGAAAAGGTATTTCTGTGAAGTTGGAATAGATCAACCTGACAGGTGATGCAGAACCACTGCACCACATTGCCTCGTGGTGCAGTGGCGACAGCAATGGAAGGCTGGCTTGTTTACACATTATTAACTCAAAGCATTCTTATATTACACTGTCATTATGGTGTGTTTCATGCCTATAAATGGCGGCTTTAAATAAGCCAGCAGTTCAATCAGTGTAATGAAACAGCATTACATCTACAGTGCACCCAGCTAGGAAAATAAACAGAACTGATGTCGATCATCAGCAAAACAAACATAATACAACACATACTTCCATAAACATGTTAAGATGTGTGACATTAGAATCACCAACGGGCTGTTATTTGATTGTATGTAACTCTGTTTCAATAATATATTCACATCCTCCAGTCTTTTTCCTGATCTTTCCTAGACGTCTGTTATGTAGCACGCTTTATTGTTAAAGATCGTGGCATTTTATCACATGATAGAGTTGCGTCATGAGTCACAGAGGAAAGAGAGTTATTGATGCCAATCAGTTGCCTCCGATTGGGTCACCCACCCATTATAAATGAATAAAATAACACCATGTACATCAGTCATATTGTATATTGTATGTATTGTATGACAATATTTTGGTTTGTGATATTGTATTGATTTTTGTGTTTAAGCCACCAACCTTTAACTCTGATGTTTTATGTAAGAGTTCTAGTTGCATATATACCAAAGTATATATATATATATATATATATAATCTCCACAACCCCTGGACCCACTTGGGGGTCCTGACCCCCAGGTTGAGAACCACTGCTTTATACTATGACAGTTTTGCTAAAATTAGATTTTAAACAATATATCGCCCTGCATACATTATCGCAATATATTGAATCACAACCGCTATTGTGATACGTATCATATCGCCACATTCTTGCCAATACACAGTCCTAATGGATACTATAATGTAAACTGAGTTTACAGTACAGTTCCTGCAGGTAGGTAAGTTTAAAGCTGAAGACGACCCATTCTGCAGTAAAAATGACATTTTTTTACCGTTTCATTTACTTTTGCAGTGTGTAGGTATGAAAAAGAAAAAGAAAGATTTTCTTTTTGATTGGCAATTTGATAGGACATTTTTCCCATAATCATTTCTTGACTTTATAAATCTCAAGGTTTGGATGTCTGTTTGAACTCACTGAACAGGACTAATGTGACAAACATCAGTTTTTGTTGTTACAAATTCAAGAGAAAGGCCTCTAGTACAGCTACACTACTGGTATGTCTCAGTGTGTACGTAACTCTAATAATAATATTCTCTAAATGTCATATCCAAACATACCTACAGTACACGACCTATAGTAACCAACACCACTAGACAACTGCGTGGGCTTGTCCACATAACTTATGTAACTTTTACTGGTTCGCCCCCACAGATGTAAATAAGTATGTAAACTTTATTCATAAGTGGATTTAGAAGTTCCAAGGTGCTGAAAGTTACAGAAAGTTACAGGAAAAATAACAAAGAACATAAAACACACAAACAATAAGAGCAATGAAAACGACACACATTACAGGACAGCAAGCTTATAGAACAGGTGAGTTTTTAACCACTTCTTAAAACCTTCCACTGACTCTGCAGTTTTTCTTTTAAGAAGGGGAAGACGAAGCTGAAAAAGTTCCGTCACCTTTGGTTTTGAGTTTAGTTTATGGGACAGCCAGAAGCAGTGGTGGAGTGCCGGGTTTACGTAGGAGTTTAGCTACTCTTTTTTCAGTCGTCAATTCTCATATGCATATAGTTCAATACCGTTCTGCAAGCTGAATTATTTTTTCTAGGATGGCAAAGGCATAAATGGACTAAGGAATAGTTCTCAATAGTAGCTCAGAATGCATAATTACGTAGTTGTCTCTCCTGTCTGAAGGCCCGTACTGATGCACAATCTGCTCCTCTTCTGCTACTGTTAATTTCAGAATGATCCTTGCAAGAGTAGCCTTACATGTCACTGTTTATAAGACAAGACGTTTATCCTTTGCCGCAGGGGCCGATTTAATATATATATAAAATTAATTAAGATTATATTCTCCAAGCACCACTACACCACTGGCCAGACCTTGGTCAGTAGACCTCAGTGGTCTCACTGTGGCTAGGTGATGCAATCATTCTGAAATATAAGCTGGTGCCAGCCCGTGTAGTGCTTTATAGGTGATTATAAAATCAATTCTGCATTCAGTGGGTAACCGATATAGATTGGCTAACACTGGTGTAATGTGTGCTCTTCGGCGTGTGTTAAAGTCAGTTAAAGCAACTGAAGTGGAGGCACAGAAGAGCGACTCAGGGTGGTGAACAGTGAATTACAGTGATAAAGACTGGAGGAAACAAAGACATTAATGAACTGGTTGACTGCTGCATTATTTTTAACAATTGCAGGCAATAAAATGCAGAAAAATTTAGGTTAGGTTTTGAAGGGGAAGAGGTCAACGAGAGTCTTAACTGCAAGATATTATGAATAATTATAGAAATCACTTTATTTACATTCAGAATGCTTAAATGTATCTCTGTCACAGGATGAGTAGGCAATGATGTGTTTCTTTTGTACCTGTGGTAGAAAGCTGCCCCTGTGAGGACCATGGAGTAGTCATTGGTCCATTTAGAGGTGTAGCCCCAGCGGGATCTGGAACTATCCCAGTAGTGGCTCCTCGCTGGATAACCAACGATACGCTCCGGAAAGTTTTGCCACACGATAAAGGCAAAATCCACCTGTGGGAGCAGAGAGTAAAGAAAGAGGCCGATGGGACGATATAGTCGGGGAAAATAAAGACAACAAATAGAGAAAAATGGAGAAAAAGAGGAAGAGAAGATGTAGGAGGAAGGAGAGAGGTGACAGGGGAGGAAAAAGTGTGATACAGCTTATTCAAAATACTTTGATAATAGCTGATATTAAAGCAGCTTGAAGAGGAAGTAAACAGACACAAGCAACTTATTCACAACAGCTATCGAATGGCATTCAGCCAACAAGGCCAGCTTCAGAACAACTGCCTCTCTGAGCAGTTTCTCTCCCACCTGAAACGTTTCCCATTAAATCCAATATCATTTAAGTATCTACATCACAAAAGATTCACTTGAAACAACTTAAAGTCAGAAGTTTGTTTCTCACTCTGAACCTGAATGGGCCTGACCTCGGATTCCCACTGATTTCCACCTTGGCTTGATCAGGTGAGATTTATTTTATTTTTTATTTGTGTTAAAGAACTTGGGGACCTAACAGGAGAAAGTTATCTATCTGAGATTACAAACTGGTTTTAATGTACAGCACATTTAAACATTTTGGCTTCTTTTTGTTGGTGAATCACTACTATAAATATCTGATCTCCAACATACAGTCATGATACACAGATGGAAGTTACCACCAGTGAAAAATGATAAAAAAACATCAGGTTTTAAAAGCTGCAGCGGTTCAGGATCAGGTCGGGTTAAAATGGAGGCCATGTTTGTTTGTGTGTAAACAGTAACGGCTGATGAAGGCTGGGTTTATTTACAGCGGCTCCAACCAGGACTGTGACTCCGGGGGGCTCAGAGGGGCACAGGAGAGGTCCTGTGTTTTGAACAATGAGACTTAATAAGAAAGAAAGAAATGAAGTAATTCAGAATCATCATTTTTTCCGTTTTCATTAAACAGATGGCTGAAAATGTTTTAAAACTAAATTATCATAAACATGTGATGACTAAAGGCTTTAACTAGACTAGGAAAATGTTTAGTCGGGGGCAGCCCTAGAGGGTAGATGGATGGACCTGCAGTGCCTCATTGTGACATTTGTTATGCACCAAAATACACAGAAACATTCCTTGTATGTGAAAACCTACTTGGCAATAAAGCTGTTTCTGATTCTGATTGTAATTTAAATTCCTCAGTTTGCACTTCCGTAACTTTGTGTGATCTTTGTATTGTATTTATTGTTTATTGTTGTTGTCTGGTGGTTGTGTGGTTCCTGCTGGCTGTACAACAAATTGCCCTTCGGGGATAATAAACATATCCTTGACCTGGAGCAGGTCCCTGTCTGTTTGCTTTATTGACTTTATAGGCCAATATGTCGTCTACAGTACCCTTTGCATTCAGTCTGACCGCACCTTTCAACCCTGTCTCCTATAAATGATGTTTGTATATTAACATTTCTCTATTATGTTAGAATGATATGTAATTCAGTCTGAATTATGTCCCCCTTAAAATGTATCTGCAAATGAGTTGTATATAACCGTAATTTCTAGGAAACAAGGCTGCACCTTTAGACTTCATCTAAATGCGTCACAAGTGTGAGATTCTCTAATACACTCGTATGCCAAGGCGGCTTCTGGAGCTGCATATCCTTCGAATCCCTCTCAGGCTCCCTACTTCCCCACTACAGAAGAAATTTCATGTGCAGTTGTCTGGAGCACCTGGTGTCCTTGAAGGAGCTTGAGCTACCTGAGAAAGAGCCTCTTTTGAATTCAAAAACACCACTGAGACATGCAGGCAGACACACCAGAGAATAAGGGGATCAGCACATAATGAAATACTTGGTAATCACACACACACACACACACACACACACACACACACACACACCACCTCAGGAGCTGGGGGAGAAAATTAATTACCAGAATAGTAGAGGTAGAAAGACGGAGCACCGAAAGTGGATGTTCTTTAGCGATACCTCGCGGCTTCTGTCATGAATCGCGTGAGCAATTACTGTAAAGCGCCGGCGCTAAGCCGAGAGAAAGGTTGGAGCTGCCATTCTCAGTGTAGCCCCTGATGAACGGACGTGTTAGCTCTGTGCACGCATTGTGTGTGTGTGCGCGTGCGTGCGTGCATGTGTGTGTGCTTGTACATGTGTTTGTATGTGAGATGTGTCAGATGTCTCCACAGCTGTGCTGAAAGGATTAATGATATCATGCAAATATAATTTTGCCTTCAGAGATTAAAAGGCTCTTTATAATGTGTGTGCGTGCATGTGTGGGTGTGTGTGTGTGTGTGTGTGTGTGTGAGTGTATATGTGTGTTACGAGTAAGAGAACCCAGATTCTTTGCACTCAGTCTGTCTTAATTATGGTTTAAAACAGGCTTGATATGGTTGAGGAATTCAAGAGAGGACTGAAGTTTAACAGGTGTGTGTGTGTGTGTGTGTGTGTGTGTGTGTGTGTAGGTGTGTAATACATACTAATAGATTCTACAAGGCCAGACTTGATCCGAGGAGCAGAGGGTCAATCCAGCAACAGATCTGTCACAAATCTCTCCCGACATCCCGGTTTAACATGTCCAAATGTTATGAGATGAAAAGGAGTTACATCACACTGTAGAGCCCTTCTCCTCCCTCACTGTGTGGTCTTTTCTAATGTGTTTTGGGGAAGTTGTGTTTTCAATCAGTTTTTTTTATTTTTATTTTTTTTATTTTGCTCCCTTTGAAGCGACGCCACTGCGGTGCTTTCACTGTCAACTTCCATCTAATTTCAGGGTGATGAAAGTGAAGAAAATGTCTCTTAAACTGGGCTTGTATCCAGCAGTTTTGGAGTGCTGTGGCTTTGATGAAGTTTTACCAACAGTCCCAGTGTGATTCAAGACGACCAGCTGGGTTGTAAGGTCCACACTGCGGCCGCAAGCGGCTACTGCAGGTTTTGTAGTTTGAAACATCTTTTGAATTATAGCTGTTCTCACCAGGTGCCCTCTGTGGTGTGTGGTCACGTCTGCTCTGGACGGTTCGTAAAGTGTTCTCCACAAGCTGGAATTTCTCTGTTTTTACTTCACAAATGACAACCGCTGTTTGGAAATTCTTTCTTGTGAGCCTTATTTGAACCCATAGAAAGTACTTATTGTAGCGTTTGATGGACAGGAAAGCTTCCTTCTGGATAGAAAGCAGATCATGATCCAGGTATATACGTCTATATGGAACCTCAGATGATGGACGAGTCCAACACCCCCGCACATGAACATGTTCCAGTCCTACGTGTCAATATCTGATAGTTTTAGACCTCAGAACTGCGATGCATTGGATCCAATAAGCCAGCTGAAAAACTCCCCTCATCCCCTAAACTCATCCATCCATCCATCCACTAATTTTCTGTCGCAAAGCAAGGTAGTGTCAAATCCCACAACCCAGCAATATCTTCCAGCTCGATCCCATTCCAAAGCCAGATGAGATATATAATCTCTCTGGCATGTTCAGGGCCCTCAGGTCTCTACCAGTTGGACGTGCCCAGAAAATCTCCAAAGGAGGGTGCCCAGGAGGCATCCTGATCAGATGCCAGAACCACCTCAACTGGATCCTTTCCAACGCGAAAGAGCAGCGGCTCTACTCCGATGTCCCTCCGGATGTCTGCAGATTGCTGCATTACTTATTTTAGCCGCTTATATCCACAATCTCATTCTTTCGGTCACTACCCAAAGCTTGTGACCATAGATGGTGGTTTGAATCCAACTGGTAATTTTCCTTTGAATCCTCCCCGGATGCAGAAATACTTGTTTGTGGTGTAACTACTTTCACTCCCTAATCAGTGTTGGGCTAGTTACTCCAAAAATCTCAAAAGTAATATTATTACTTTACTTATTACTCCCTGCCAACTGTAATTAGTTACACTACTAGTCAACAGTTACTAGTTAAAATAACTAGATAAAATCTTTGGTCGAGGAAAGCCCTACTAATTACTAATGCTCTGAAATGTGCAGCACTCTCGACCAGCCTTTCAATGACTAGGGGATCACAAATTCTGCTATTGCCGTTGAAGAACGATTTCCATATCCACCATATTGAAAATGTCTTCCAAAGGGCACAACACAGCAGCATGCTTGGCCGCCCAATGAGAGACAAAAGCTTTGTCAGGTTTTTTTTGAGTCGTATTCTCTTCTCTAATCTCTCTTCATGGAATAATCATACATTTAATGAGCTGAAACAATGTAATTATGAAATTGGCACAGCCATTCTTCCACAGAGGTATTATAATATGAAAAGTCCTATTAAAAGTGTAATGTGCTTTCCTGCACATTTTCACTCACTTGACATATTTCATCTCCTTTCAATAAATCCCCTCACCATGTTAAAAGGGCAATTAGAGCATCGGGTTAGTGAGCACAGCAAAGATCCACTCCACTTCCTCTTTATGATTCCTCTCTCTCTCTCTCTCTGACATCTTCTTCTTCTTACTCTCGTTTCATAAAACAAGCCGTGTGCCCATAAAACTTTAGTTGTACAAACTCGCTCATATTGCTGTGCCGCAAATTGTAGTGCCATAAAGTGTAATTGTGATCCCATCAGCGTAGAAAAGGTGAACATTGACTTGCTCCCATCAATAAAACCTCTCAGAGTTTAAAGATATATTGGCTCTCTTGGGCTCATTGGGCCTCACAATCCATTATGGATCGCAGCTTTTACTCGCTGAAAAGCTGAAGAGAAATGAGGTTGCTACCTGTAATGACTCTCAAAGCAGAAGCACTCATTTAGCATCACAGATGAGCTGATCATTTTACTGCCTAAGGTTTAAAACGTATAAAACTTTTGTTTTCAACATATTTGTGAGTCTTAAATTGGGAAAGTAATGACTGATTTTAAGTGTAGAAACTGTATGAGAAGACACAGAATAAAGATTAAAAGGAGTTTAATCACTACTGTAGGAGAATGGACATCAACACTGATTACCTGCAATGCATTAACTATAAACATTATATGATTATAATATGATTATTACCAATAATTACCATTTCAGGCCTGTTTACTTTCCAGAGAACTTTGGCAAATAGACTATTTTTGTCGTTTTCATATTGAAATTAAATAGTTTTCAGTGTCTACACACTAGGGATAAAAAAAATCCTAGTATGTAGATACTGAAAGCAATTTCAGTATACCACAAGAATGGCAGACTCTGCCACTAACAATGAAAACCATTGTACAGAAAGGTATTTACTGAATATAAATACACTGAATAGCTACTGTTGTCCATGAATAGTATCAGAAACTGGGTTTTATTAAATTAAAATGAACAGGATTACAACTTTAATGTTTTCCTCACTGTTAAAATCTCTACATCAGAACAGGATTCAGTTTATATATTTATCTATTTATTTTAGTCAAAGACAAGTTTTGATTCAGTTTTGTGGTTGTAGAAAGTGCCTCAATTATAAAAAAACAAATCCATCCACGCAGTAAAATATAAATTAAATACAAATTTCAATAATCTGAAATGAACAGAAACAACTATCAGACCTCATGGACAAATATTGGATAAATGTGTCCATTTACCGTATAGTATCCTGTCTGGTTTTGTTTTGTTTTTTTCAGTAGTTTCAGAAAGTCAAAGTCTTGATTAAAAAAGGGGGAATAGAAACATTATTTCCTCTCTTGACAATGCTTTAGACAATTCACTGATTTCTAATTTGTTCTAAAACAAGTGTCAGAGTAACAAACCACTGGAGTGTTTCCCATCCTCCCTTTTAAGTAACGAGTGAGACTTTAATCAAAGAGGTGCTCTGTGTTTTGACAGTGTAATGATACAGACACAGAGGTAATGGCTCTCGTAAAACTCCTGACTCCGTGAAAGCACTTTGTTTTTCATTATTCCCTCTTCCATGTGCTTTTCTACTCTCCTTTCCTTATTTCCTCTAGCCTTGATTTTCCTTTGCTTTCTGACCTTTTCTCTGCTTTTCTTTTCCCACTATACTTTTTTTTATTCCTCTGGTCTTTTGTCCTTCTAACTTCTCTTTCCCTTTGTTTTTCCTTCCCCTTCCCTTGTTTGCTTTTCCTTCTCTCAGCTCTCTCATTTTTCCTGGTGATTTCCTATTGTGTTTTCTTTCACTACTATTTCCTTATTACTCCTCTCTTCCATTTCCTCTTTTTCCTATTTTCCTAACTCACTTCTCTGCTTTTCTTTCTTACCTCTCTTCTTCTCCTTCCTTCCCTCAGTATTAAGTTCAATTAAAAGAACACCATCTTAATAGTATGTATCCTCACACCACTCATTGCACGCTAATTTAATTAAGACTGGGTCTCGAGCATCCTGGAAACGCAGTAAATCACTGAGCCTCCACAATATTGACGTCTTGTTTTGTATTTTAAGCTGGTCGTCTGACTTTGTTGCTTTACTAAACTCCCTGTGCATCCTACTTATTTCATCTGATGCATTTGGAATCGTCCTTTAAAGGCAGAGCACATTTTCCTCCTCTGGTTCAGTGGCCATTGCAATGTATGGCAGAGTGAGGCAATTCATTTGTAATGAATGGTATTCATGACTGTGCGTGGGCTGACTGCTTCATTTCAGAAAGGATCAATACTGTGTTAAGACATCACCACCTTTTGCCACTGGCTGATATAAAACCATGCAGACTGGAGCTGGTTATAAAAACATTTCCAGAGGCAGGCTTTCAGTGCTGCAGGGTTGGCTTGTTTACACAAACTGTTAAGAAACTCTAGAAATGTGAGCAGAAGTAGAAAAAAAAACATATTTTTGTTTGTGCTAAATTGCCAAACTCTGCCAAGTTAGTTGAACATATCTTTTCCAATGTCAGTCAGATGCTCTTTAGTAGATTTATGAACGTTTACACTCCAGCCACCCCAGGAAATGTAACCAGAGTTAATGTTAGTACCTAAAAAATACCTAAAAGTTTTTTAATACTAGGGCTTACATTTTGCAAAGGAGACACAGCTTTACCCTCAATATTTTAGCATGGTCTCATGTATGTATGAATTAAGACACTTTTTAGAGTGAGCTGGTTGGTTTTCAACCAACTCATGGAGCTAACATTATCTTAACTAGCAGCCTAACTACATCTAATAAAATCTGCCAGTAAGAGTTGACATTTCAGCCGTCAAAATCAAGCAGGAAGCAAATTGTGTCTTTTGGTTCCTCAAATACATTATTTTGAATAGAGACGATGAAAGCTCAAAACCAAAAGAGATGCTTACAGTGTTTTTTATTGCCTTCAATCAATAGTGACAGCTGAAGGGTGACAGGGAAGGGATGTCATGCAGCATAGGGCCAGAGGTCTGAGTTGAACCCATGGCCTCTGCATGGTACCAGCTCTACCAGGTGAGCTATCCAGACACCCCATAATCCATGTAACTTTGTTTTGACATTTAATTTATTAAGTCAGTGAAGTTTCCTTCTAAATGCGTCACTCTGATGTCGTTCCTGTGGTGAGGGGGTACTATCCATACTGCTATCTACAGTGGAAAACGAAGCAAAGGTACCAAAAGTGAGCAGAGCTGAGCTGTACCATGTAGTGGAAATACGGCAGTGGCGTTTAAACTGCCTGTGTGCTGTGGAAGAACAAAAAGTTTGGGAATTGTAGCAGCAGTAACTAAATGGGGGCCAGGGTCAGCGAACAGTCAATTTTAGTTTAAAAGATGATTATAATCACAGTTTTGCATGTAAAATGTGCAGTTTTTTACTCTGCGTTTTGTCGGCAACCGTGGTGAATTGGTTACTTAAGCTGTTTAGTGATTAATTCAGTACTTGAGATTTAATCCAGATGTCTGATAATGGTGTTTTGGTGGCTTTGTGTCTTGGGAATGTGGCCGTCTCACCTCATTTTGTTGATAAATCATCAGTGTCTCAGTTCACCAGTGCGTAAACGCCCCCCCCAAAAAAATGTCAATGTCGTGCCAATTGGTTGATAAGTCATCAGTGACTCACCTCATTTGTCGAGAGAACCGAGTCTTCATCCAGACTGAGAACGGCATCAGTGAGGATGACGTCGTGGGGGAAAAAACGACTGCTCATCGTCTGGAGAGAGATACAGAAAGAGATTACTGACATTATTGACAGCATTTATCAACATGAATACATCCCATCAAAACAACATAATTTACATTTTTGTCAACTGATCTGTAGCTAATACTTGTTGAGGTGTTTAGATGCATATTCATGATTTATTTTTAATCTTTTTGGGGGAATTTTATGTTTTTATTTACCAGGAATCTAAGGAAATATGTTGACTCACAGACCACTCTGCATTTTAAAGGTATAGACCTGGTATAGAGGTATGAGAAATGTAGGCAAAAGGCAATGAGAAAATGTTTCACGCCCTGCTGTGTGTCTATTGATCAACCATCTGACTTAATACGTTTTGTGTGACTCTTTATCAATTTAACAGAATGTGTAGTAGAACTTGATCCATTATCCTAAAGAGGGCTGCTGTTATTGACTTGTAATTAAAATGTGAATTATTTAACTATTGAGTAGAAAAGGAAAAAAAAGTTAAGCTAAGGTTTCAAACAATCAGCAAGCATGTGTTTGCTGTTTTGAGCTCTGGAGGATGTTCACTGTCAGCTAATAGAAACACTGATTAAATGTGATGGAAAATTGAATGTTTTATCACAATTTCTCGTACATAATCACACGATCGCCGTGATCAGTGTGTATTTATTAGAAAAGAGTTATAATGTCCCTTTTCTGAGTTGCACGTGGGGCAATTTAGTTAAACAGAAGGGTAATGAGCTTGAATTAATATCCAAAGGGGGCACGAGGGTTATAGCAGGAGGCACCAAATTACTGGTAAGTGGCAGGGTAGTCGTAGGGAAAGTGGAACCATTCGGTGGTATGTTCCTCAGGACTAAATGTAGAAAAAAAATAACAGAAATAGTGCATTCCTGTTGTTTTTCTAATGATCTTATTAAAAACCCAGAGAAATCACATACAGTGGGAATAATTGCAAGAACACATTTTACTTCGACTGAAATGCATCCAAATGACAGAAAGCTGCATCTGCTCTTACAGAGTACTACAGCCAGTCCCTCCTCTGGGGCAAGGCAGCAAGAAAACATCTCTTCTTACTCCCAAACAGGCTGTTAAGGTCCATCTTTTCCTAAATCATCCATGGTAGTGTCAGGATCAACAGCTACGTCAGCCCGGCAGGATGTAGCAATAACAGGAAGGCTGGCAGCAGCCGGTGACACTGACAGCGACACGACAATTCAAAAAAAGTTCTCCAAACTTGAATTTCTGCTCAACTTGTAAAACACTGACATGCTTTTATACAAGGGATGTATATATACAGTGACACAGTGAATATGCACTACCCCATGGTGCCCCCTAATGGAGCTGACTCTGTGTCTGGTATAATTGTGTATATGGCACTTTTTGTCATTGAGGACCCCTTTGAAAACGACATGGTGGATCTCAAGGGGTTATTTCTAATAAAGAATTTCCAGTTGATGAGCCGTGGTTTTGACAGGAGTAAAATTTAATTATTATTATTTAAATAGAACTGTCATTGCAAAAGTCAACGGCGTAAGTGTAAGGCGATGATTGAACATGACAAGCACAAACTGAAGCGAGATAAAGATGACCTTTAAGTTTTTCTAGTATTGCTATAAACCTGGAAGGTCAGCTAAACTAAGCACACATCCTACAGTAAATGATGCACTTCAGTATAAGCAGATTATACATTTTTTACCTGAAGCTCAGTCAGCCTGATTATCTGTGCCTAAACTTGGAGAAAAATGTCTGTCATTAAATATTATATATATCTATGCTTTTATCTTAGTCAGCTAAGATTTTATGTGACTGAAATGAACTTTCATGTCAACTAGCGTCACTGTGGTGACGCTTAACATGGATTCACCGTCTGAAATAAAGCAGATTGGATTTACAGCCCCAGGGGTAATATTAAGAGGCTTATTTTGGAAAGTAAGACCACAAATATCTGCAAGGTTAATGTCTACTTCCATCTCAGCTTAATGAGTCAGTACAAATTCATCAAGAAATTAAGCGTAACATCAAACGAATTTGAACATAAATCCCCTAAATTCTTCAAATTATTTCAGAGTGCCTCATAAAAAAAACGACTACTCACTACTTAAATCACTACTTAAAGTGAGAAAGTGTATTTTATTTGGATGGATGCCCTGTAACGAGCAGGCAGGTAATTAGTTCAGTCAGGATGGTGTTCAGAGTAGTGGAACAGTCTCTCAGCTTTCTTATGAAAACCACCATCACAGTGTAATTGGCTGTAGTAAATTAGCCTGATAATCAATCGCATTCATCCTGGACTAATGGTCTGAATGTAATAAATTCACAATATCAAAGATTTGCATGAGTAAGAAGAAACATATGCACAATCACATGCACATTGCACACACTGTCTTACAGGTTTGCTGGTGTGCTAATATATTAGACCAATGCCTGTTTATTACATAATTTATCAATATCGCATTGGTGGTCTGTAGTAAGCTTTAAGGCGAGGAAAGGCAACTTTATTTGTAATTCAGAGTGCTTAAAAGACGAAAGATTTCCAGTTTAAAAATTAAGTAAACTCATGAAAAAACAATAAAAATGAAGGCTATTTACAAGCTAAAAGATAGAGAGAGCCATCGAGAGAGAGGGGATGACACACAGCAAAGGGCCACAGATCGGATTTAAACCCATGGCCGCAAGGACTCAGACTTGGTACATGGGCTTTAATAGGCCCGACGTCTTCTATACACTGGGAGGTTTCCGGTTGTTGTGTAAAGATTATAGATTTTTTTTAGAAAAAAGATGGGGTTAAAAAAAAAAAAAAAAAAAAAAAAAAAAAAAAAAAAAAAAAAAAAAAACTAATGACTTTGGTGATCTCCAGACTTTTCCTCTGGCACCACTGGAAGGCCAAAGTTTTCACTTATCCAGTTAGATATCTCAACATATACTTGATGGATTGGTGCAAAATCTGGTTCAGACATTCATGCTTAGACATGTGGACAGGTAGAGCTGGGGATTGAACCACCAACCCTGCAATTAGTGGACCAACTTCTCTACATGCTCTGGCTCAGAATGATACACATTATACCTGCTTAAATGAGCATGTTACTGAGTAGTTAGCTCAAAGCAATGCTGTTCCTCTGCTCACGGAGGTGCTAGCATACTGCTACTGCTTGTATAATAGTATGCTAGCAATTCATACAGTTGTGCCTTATCATGGACTAAACACTGTGCTATCAAAAATACATCTTTTGGCCCGAAAATGGTCATCTATTCACCCATCAGCAGTTGCAGTCCAGTAAGCATCAGTATTGGCACAGGCCTTTAAAACCTCATAATGTCTGAACACACCTGTACAGCATCATGTCTGTCTGTCTGTACCTGTGTGAGTGTCACCCCCTGCCTCCCTCCAGCTGGTGTCAATGGCTTTCTGCCTCTGGACAGAGATTAGGTCCCACTGAGATCACTGGCAGCTCAATGGTCTGAACCTTATCTTTGTCGCTCTCCTTCCACCCATTTCCTATCTTTATATCTGCATTGACTCCTGCTACTTCAAAGGAAATCTTTGGAGATCCGGCCTGACTTTGTCACGGATATATCGAGATGTCTGTAAGTTACAGTGAAAAGTAGAAGATCACATAGCTATCTGTAAAACTATCATAAACTTTGGACAGCCACTTTACTAATGTTGCTTAACAGGCAACTCTCATAAAACCTATGAAAATAATAAACTAAAGGATATTTTCAGGTCTAAACAAGACCATCAATTCAACTCTAAGCCTGCTGTCCTGACCTTCTGTTCAATCAGGGTTCAACATTAGGTCCTATTTGACCTTTGAACTGTTCACTTTTATGCTCCTGGTATAATTTAAATGCATACCCAAGGAGTCAGGATCAATGTTGAAGATTAACTTATCAATATAAAATTCACGGTGTGGGGGTGATTGATGGAGCGGAGATATAGTCGACATATTAACTGTGATAGTGTGGAGTCCATAGGTCACTCCTTTTATAATATTGATGTGTGGGTTGTAAACGCTTAGCAAGCAGAACCTCACTTATAGCAACCAGATTCGTTTGATCAACCATTCATACTCGCCGTATGCCCCACACCCCCTGTGTGATTAATTGGTTGGTAAATAATTTAACTTGTACGATTCTGAATCATTAAAGGAATCCCAAAGTGTCTCCAAATCAGTCAGCTTATAATAAAGTTATTCCTCTTTTCTTTGGAAATGCTTTCCACTGTGAACTATGCTTATATGCTGTGTATACTGCAGTGGTGGAATGTAGTGCATTTACTTAAAGCTCAAGTGTGTAACATTTAGGAGGATCTGTTGGCAGAAATGGAATATAATATTCATAGATATGTCTTCATTAGTGTATAATCACCTGAATATAGGAATCATTGTGTTATTGTTACCTTAGAATAAGATATTTTATTTAGAAATTTATCCTACTTCCTACACAAAATAAACAATTTGAAAACCGACTTGGTAGTTCTCACAGGATGCAGACACTACAAACATATGATACTCTTATGACATAGAATATGATGCATTGCTGTAGATTAAACTTTACCCAACTCCTGAATGAATGACCCTACATTTAAGTAGTAGTTTACTAGTATACTTTTTAACCATTAAGGACAAGCAACCCATTTTTGTCCTTTATTTAAGAGGACTGGTGGGCAAATAAACTCAACCCTGCACTGTGATTCCAAATTATTGTACCGGCCACCTAGTAAGGTTACTTTATTTGTTCCCATATTTCATCAATGAACAACTCAGACAACAAGAACAAACAAGAAGAAGAAGCTGAAACTCACAGTGCAAAGGGTGGGAGTCGTTTAAAATCAAACTGGGTATCTGCTGTCACTGTCTGCTGTTTCAGCCTATAAGACCATTTAACAATTTGATTCTGGGAGGTTCTGATCTTTTGACACAAGTTTGCAAACCATGAGACCAAAGAAAAAGATAAAAAGTATTAATAAAAGCATGTTAAAACAAGGCCATTGTGGTTTTGTCCATGTGGAAATTTCAAAGAGA